ACCCGGGCCGTCGGTTGCAAAGATCTCAGTCACATTCAAAATAGGCAAGAATGGAAGAAATCCTTCGAGCTAGAAAGCAGTCAGAATGACTGATGGACTGGGGAAGGCAGATGACGTTGGTGCGTGTAAGTCGAAAATTGTCAATCTGTTGCAAACTGATTTTTGAAGAAGAATCCAAGATAACTCAGTTTAGGAAAAGCCGTCAAAATAGTGACCTAGAAGCTCACTTGAAAAGGTTATGCAAAGAATAAACTAAAATGAAGTGGTAAAAATAACCTTTTGAATGTTCTACCGTGTTCGGTAGGCAAAGAGACTGTTCACATGAACAAGCGAACCCGTTTCAAGTAATTTCACACAGAGCCAAAACAGCTTACCATACTGGCCAGATATGCTCCATTGTAAACTTCCTGCGAGATTGACCCTCGTGTGAGTGAGCCTCCGTGAATCCAGACCATGACCGGTCTCCCGCCCTTCGGTCCGAACAGGGCACTGCTCTCGAGCATGGGCATGTGGTCCTCCAGAACGGTCAGATTGCTCACCCGAGTCCATATGTTCAAATACAAACAATCCTCACTAACATCGGACAGAGTCACCCACATTCGAGTCGCCGGATCAGCATATTCACCTGTGTATGTGTGTGTTTATCGTCCGGGAATAGGGTTGGGAACAGAAATTCAAGTTGTGAACAATGCGAATGGGGTTAACCAATGACATTGTATTGGAAAGGGATTGTACAAACGTCTATGCATATATTTCAGTCGAAATGAGCATTATGGCTCATTAAGCGCGATAGTAAGAAGGGGGTGAAAATGCACTCATGCAGTCGCGCGATGTCCCTCGTTACGTGCACGTGTTTCTCCTTGTTATCTATGCCAATAAACAAGTATAGTTTTGTAAACATTGAAGATCAAAAGATATGGTGACGCGGATAAAATGGTTAATTAAGTACCGGATGCTGTTGTACACCAAGTAAACAAATCTGAGATTGTAAGTGTTCCTCATTTCATTCGTTATTAAAACCACCATATAATTAGCCATGTGTTTGCGTTACAATTACCAGGTTTCACTTCTCCCCAAGCGACACGTGTTCCAGGCACATCAAAACTCTGAATCGAATATAGCAAATGACATTTTACGTATATTTAAACCTCAAAAAATAAATTCATAAACTCTTGACAAGTTTGGTTGTTTGCGGACGATTTATGCCATCATACAGTGTATCAACCTCCAGTTTCAGCAAACTATACTAAGGTGTGGCGATATTTTATTAATTTTTCACTTCAGTGGGGTTAAAACTATTTGAATAAAACTAAACTAAAAGCAAAAAATGAGTACATTCTAATTTCGAGTGAACAAACCAAGCGGAACGTTTGTCACGGATACCTTATGTTACAACCACTTCATCGATTTCTATTGTCATATTTTCCTGTGATGCTGCTATCATCGCATATAGCCCGTTCTCTTCAACACATCCGATGAAGCTTTCAGCAAGTTCCAAATACTAATCAATAACCAGATTCATGCAATGTCGAGAAGACACATGATGAATGTCCGGAGGATCCCGCGGTGGGAGGCCACCGACGTCAACGTTTGGAGAATGTTTTCCGTCTGGCATTTCCAAGTTTTCCCCCGATCATCTGCCATTCTTATGATCGACATGCTCTAATGTTCGTTGAAGGCGCTCTCGTGAAACAAAGCGATAACAATGAACTTTGATAATAATTTTTTAATAAACATTATATATTCTGCAGTTTTGTTTCCACTGGATAACTGAATGTAAAGTACCATTTCTCGGAACCCATTTTTATTATCACCACTGGGCCGTGAGTGCTCGAAGCGGCGATACATAACACTAAATTCCATTTCGCCTGTTCGCCGAGCTTAGCAACTGGTTTGCAAATGTTTCATCACCAGCCAAGGGTCGCTTCACAAGCGCCGATAATGTTACCTTCGGCTGGTGATGAAACATTTGCATACAAATTGCTAAGCTCGGCGAACAGGCGAAATGAAATTCAGTTCACCCTAGCTACGAGAACCGATTTTCAATAATTTGTCAGCATAACATTGACAGTTCTTTCGCTAAATTTTGCTCCTATTCCTGACATGCGCGGTACACTGAACTATTAAATCAGTTTTAAGCTGAGGTTTGTTCTGCAAAGTTTGGTTCCCACCGTCGACAGTCAGCCATTTTTAAAACACCCATTCTGATAAAATAAAAGTTTCATCTGGCCGTTGTGATGTAATTTTATGCTGATCAATAAACTGCTTTATAGCAAGGCTAAAACACTGTAGACAGAGACCGTTCCTACGTTTCTCAAACGTGTAGCGCGGATAAAGCTGAACACCTAACGGATAATTTGGCTCATTGAGTTCACTTGGAGAAACTACAAGAGAATTTATGTGATAGACAGCACCAGTTAGGTTGTATGAAAGAAGCCGGTAGCTAGTGTCTTAAAAAGGATTTATTGTTCTTAGAACTGTTCATTCGGTCATTCAATCATATCATATCATTTATTAAAGCTTTCATATGATAAAATAACAACGCAGTTCAACTTGAATTCCCAATAAAGAGCCAGATGCGAAAGCTACCCAGGTCAGCACTCTCACCAAACCTGAAATCCATGCATCACGTAATACCAGATGAGTGGGATCACACGACTAAGGCAGATAAATTAGTATTCAAGGTTGATGGGGTGTGGGAAATGTTTTGAAATCGGTGTGAGATGATCTGTCCCTCATGTTGATAAATCATTGTAATTACTGCGACCAAAAAGGTGAAAATATCAGGTATGGCTACCAAATGTGCTACTTATTTTGCTCTTCAGCGAAAAATCAGCATCTTTATTCTGAAGTTCGCCTCACTCAAGTATATTGAATAGGATTAAACTGAAGCAAGTCGTGTCGGGGGCATATATCAACGAACAGCGGTACGCAGCTCGGGATGCGGGATTAACATTCATTTGGGAGGAAACATGCACACCTGATCACTCTTCCACAATGGCATTCTCCGGATCAACTGTCCGTTTTTGATGCGGAAGCCATGGGTTAAATTGAATAACCGATGGTATGCGAGCAAGACCACCAATCACACTTCTAGCTTTTGATTCTATCAAACAAATAAACAGATAATACTCTTTTACCAGGCATGGGAATTGACGCTTTTAAAGCACTGATGTGCCTCATACTTTAGCACTAATGAGACCACATCAAACAGCAGAGGAAGGTTACACAATGCACTAATTTCGCATTCGGAACTGCGTATAATATATCAACCTTTTACCATGAACGGTTTACCCGTGGAAATATCCTATACGACAAGAGTTTGTAAGCAATTTCCCATGATAAAACGTTGACTCTGACCGATGAGTCATTCTGCTTCGATTTTCATGATCAGTAGATTCAGGGATTTGAATACCAAAAACCTTTCTTGTTGGGGACTATCGAAAGATTCATTTAACAACCACACTGCCGAGTTTTCTTACAGTGAACCGTAAGTGTTTTTAGTGTGATGGTCTGGTCAACAATACAGTTCGATACAATCACATCGCCTCACATTGCTGTACTCCATTTATCTATACTCACTGGGATTAAAACAACCGGAAATATCATCATTGTAATGTGTGTGTGTGTGTGTGGAATGAAGACCGGGGTTCACTCAAATGTGCACAATGACGCGCACAACCAGCGTGTCAGAATGACCAGCAGTTGCCGTCACAGTTCTGAGGTCGTATGACGAACTGACTGATAGCGATAAGTTTGAGTATACCAAAAACGGACTGTTTTTTCCTTCCCTAATATCCTCTTCACCGTGTTTTTATTGCTCAAGCTGATTACCAAGCTATGATGTAATTTGCTTCAACAGTTGTCGATCTGCTTCCGTCGGAAAAGAGCTGTTGGTAGGCACAATGATACCGGGACATAATAGAAAAGCCAATCTAATAAAACTGACACCTTTCAACCGATAAAATGAAGGGATACTGCACACAGTCCCATTTATCAATGAGATATTTCCGGACAATTCAAGACGAACCCAATCTACGTGTTTGAATTGGTTATCGTCTCACTCGAAACCGACACATATTGTAACCTCGATTGAACAGATCACCTATCATATAGTGTGTTCCGTAACCCATCGAAATGATCAGTATTCCTTGATTTGTAAACTGTAAGCAGTCCAAAGATATCTCAATTTCTGTAGACTCCAATATTCAGCTGACGGCTGCATTGATACAAAATCAATATGGACAGAATGATTTTTTTAGTTATTTTTGTAGAATCCACCAGCGCCTACATAGATAGTTTTCTTGTGTTCTTCAATCATCCCCCGTCAAAAGTAATTCAAAGTTAAGATGGTTTTCCTGCTCAAATGTACGCCAAAACAACTATCTTCATTCAAGGTAAAGTGTCCGAACTGTAGTCCTAATCGCCCTTTGACAGATAGCATCACCTCTGTGCACATAAGATATAAGTAAGCTGTATATGGATAGATAAATAATAGATTGTCACTGTGCTCTGGAGTTGAGGGGATCCAGTAAAATATGTAGATTAGGGGATTATAACTGTGTTGCTTGCCAAGTACTGATTTACAAGTATTTAAGTGATATTGGGTTGGATAGTTATTGACGAAAAGTACACTAGTTTCAATTTATGGGCGGGAGGTTCTTTTTGTAACCTTAGCGACATTTTCGTGGAAGCGATGTAGTTGCGTACACAGATTAGAACACATTTACGCATTTGTATCAGAACCGATCGATGCTCGAGGTGGCCCGGTGGTACCGTCACCAATTGCCACCCTGGAGGACGTGTGTTCGAATCCCACCACCACCGCCTGTCTCTCCCCATTATATGTTGTATGGCAGCCCTTTCATTGAGTGCTTCCCCCTTCCTAAAGATTTTATCTTCGTATACTCAATAAAAGGAAGTAAAATGATTAAAACACTGATTCGCGAGAAATGTTATCGCTGTTAACCGAAACGGCGAATTAGTATCATACTTATCCACAAGGTCGTATTGGTTATTCCCAAACACTTACCTCTAGATGCATTCTCGCATCTGAAATTCATTCTGTAAATCGGCAATACAATTGTGGCTTCGGTACTTTTTGGGTGAGTTATTTTACGGGCCTCAACGAAACTTTTCTAGGGCACAGGAAATGCCATTAACCCAAATCGGTTCCGCCGCATTCTCTCGGTAACCAAACCACCCACAATAATCAAATTCGATATGAAGGTATTTCAATTTATTACCAAATAAATTGTGATTACGATCTGGCTAAACTCTTTATCCTAGGAAACGCACTCCTGGCTGGGGGGAGGGTGGTGACAAAGTACCACTCCGAGGCTATCACTAAAGTGCACTGTGAAACTCACCACGTAAGTTGTATGAGTCAGTTATAACTCAGATGTTTTAGGTGACGTCCAACATTGAGCAACTTAGAAGTTCAAATAATGCAGAACCTGATTGGATGTATACCCGAGCCTTTTGCCTCAATGACAAACAAAAAGGGTAGATGTGTTTCCTTCAACCGCTGCTGTATTACCATCGTTTCGTTCCGCTGGGGCTATTAATATTTCGCGCCCCCAGGGTTGCGTTTTCTATG